TGGGAAATCGTACAAAGCAGCTACCAACTCGGCGGCCGCAGATTAATTGGCTTTCTCCAATTTCCAGTATTACACACATACCTTCACACACGCAGGGAAACGGAAGAGACTCTGCTCAAATAATCTCTAACGGTTCCTTCCGTCCCTTTGATCTCTGGCTTTACTCGGACACAGAGCTGCTCTTTCTCTAATTTATATACTTTTCGTGTGTCGAACCGGTGAGAAGAAAATTCAAGGCGTGTCTAACAGTGGGAAACGAACTGGGTGTTTATGTAGTAAAGGAACCACAAAACTTCAAAGTAGGCAAACGTTTTTACAAAATAAAGTTTGAGGTAATTTAGAAAGTTTTTTTTTTCGTGGTGCGTTTTAACCCTGTACTTTGATCATTAAAGTACGGTTCCTACTAATTTGCATTTCCTTTACTTTTTTGATCCTGCAATAAAGGATAAAGAGAAAAAAGTTTGAGTGGACTTTTTATAAAAGATCACAACTCGTTCAAAGCTGGAAAATAATTTAAACTGTATTTTGCTCTTAATGATTTTGCTTAGTTCTTTTTTATTTCTAAATTGTAAAAGGTTTCAGAATTTACAGCTATCCAACTTTTTTTATTTATTCTGTAAGATTTAATATTAAATTTATTTAATTAATGTAATAAGTGAAGATTCAATGAAATAAAAATATTCATATAAAGAAGCACAACTTTTCGGATTGTTTGTGGTCTTTTTGTCTTTGCAAGCTTTGTTAATTAATGTGGTCACTTGACTAATCCTGAATGCTAATCTAATTAACTTCCACAAATTGCGCCCCCTCCTAAATTGTCCGCCTGTATAATTATAACAATATAGACTCCTCCACTAACTTAATAACCCTCTTGGCTGAACTTCAAAATTTTATTTAAAATAAAAAAAAAATGTGTTACTTTACACAAATTCAAAATTTAGAAAATAATTCATTTTTTCCACATTTCAAATAATATTATTTATTTGATTTTGATTGTTATTTTTAAAGAATAATCCAGGTATCAAAACTCCTATCTTGGTCTGCTCTGCGCAGCCCGTCAATAAATAAACAATGAAGCTCAAAATTGTTCCTTTGTATAACATTCAAAAACCACAAGCTGCCTCAAATAATCAGGATTATTTGCGTCAGCCAGAAAATCCAGCTGTTTTTCCACAGTTCAAACAGGCAAAAGCGAGCGGGCAGAAAAGGCCGAACCCATATATATACGGTTGAAAAGTGATTTAAAATTTAAATTGTGACGGTCGGAAAATGGCTTATTATTACACGCGGCCACCAAGGGCTGACCGGTTGGGCTACTCGTAAATAATTCATGCTGGGTGTTCGCATACATTCGCGCTTTGCACACCGCGGCTATTTTTGATGCTCTGCGCCAGAGACCAGCAGCATTTTTGGAAATTACTTGCACGCGTGCTACGCGAAAGTGCCGTGGAGTACGTGCTGGACATACCAGCATCATCAAAGTTTAAACGACCACGTGTAATTTGACACGAATAGTACCTAAAAAGTAAAAAGTGATGTACAGAGTGTGTGAATGATTATGAATGCTCCATTTATTCTTTGCAACTGCATGGGTCACTTTTGCAAGAGAATTAGCCAAATGGATGAATAAAAAAGTCGGAAAGAGGCAATAAAAATTAAAATTATAAAAGAGAGTGAGAAAAATGGTAGTTAATTTGTGTTGAAAATAAGTTAAAAGAACAATTTCATTGAACTTACCAAACTTGAAAAAAATACAAATTTTGTTATTTTTAAAATATGATATTCGATTCCTGATTTCTATTTTATTTTTAATTAAAAATAAAGTCTAGAATATTGGATAACATTGTTATTTTTTCTACCAGCATCATTTAGCGTAATTTTTTTCCAACATCAAGCTAGATTATTTGCATGACATTTTTGTATATTTTGCGTTAAATGATTGCTCTATCTGCTCACTCGGCGCTGTATATCTCTTTTTATCAGAACAAGTAGCGCAATCAAAAGCTCTTTCACGTATGAAGTGGGACCGCTAATAGAACGTGTCAGCACCTTTGAGATAACATCGGTGGACAAACAAAAAGTTGGCACCAACGCAATAATTTCGCCTGCCCAAATGGGCGGTTCGCATGTTCTAATTTGCCTATTTCTCGCTGCGCAGTCTGCAATTTTCCTCCCGCTATTCATCACCCAACCTTTCATCCTCCTCTTGACACGCCATTGAATTAATTTGCAGCGCAACGAAGAGACAATAGAAAAGAATGATCGGCGTGCAGAATTATTTATAAAACCCAAAGGCAAGAAGTGGCTTTTGTACGCGCTAAACCGACACTCGGAAACTTCTCCTTTTATTCAAATTTGGCTGGAAAAAGTAAACCAGTGGTAACTTTTTCCAAAAGTCGTAGTTAAGAAATTGTTGCTTTTTTAGGCTGTCACTTTTAATAAAAACTTTCAAAGTTGCTGAACTGTGTGACGTTTGAGACACATTTTAGCTGATATTTTCTTTTAACCATCCCGCCAATTGCGACTGCTGCTTTTTTGTTCACGTCTCAATTAATCCTCTCGATTTCTCTCGTCGCGACAAGTCAGTCTCATGAATCAGTCTTGGTGCTTATCTGGTTGGCGTGCTTGCTCTTGCGACAAGTCACTGCAATCCTTATAAATTTCACATACAAAAAAGTTGAGAACCTAATCCCACTTGAATTCCTTCGCGTCTGAATCCGCTTAAAATTAGATCTGTTTGCTCTTGGTGAAGCAAACAAATTGCAGAAAAACAGCCAAGAGTATGATTTAAATCTGAATAAATCGTGAATTTATAAAATAGGGATGCAGATGATTTCTTTTTAAAATCATTCATTTGCAGACTTCACACCTATTTACTTTTATGAGCCATTCTCTAGGCAAATAAAATTTTTTCTCAAGCAAAAAATTTTAATTCTAAGAACAACTAGAACAAGTCTACAATTTTCTCTAAAAATTAACGTAATTACAAAATGAATATTTTTTTTGGTCATTGATTTATAATATGAAGAAAATTAAGTATTTTAAATATTTTACAAATAAATTAGAAATGAAAGTAATTTAATAAAAAAAAAATAATGCTAACATACGATTTAAGAAAAAAGTTCCTTTAACAGTTACCGGCAAAAATCTAGAACAAAAATAGTCTCCAAGCAAAAGAATTAAAGGAGGTGCATTTCTTTTGAAAGAATTATTTATAAAGAATGCCTTCTGCGCAGCATGTTTTTTCTTCTCCTCCGGCGTACAATTGCTCTAAAGAAAATTGGAGCGTTCTACAAACCTTGAACTTAAATTCCGGCTCGACGAGTTTATTTTGCGAAAATTAAAAGCGCCCTGCTTTTTCTCCATTCCGGCAGTTGAAAAAGTACATAATGCACGGGACTTGGCATTAAAAGCTACACTTCTTTTATTCTGCACACACACACACACACGCCCAGCAGCTTGTAGTGTGTTTGCTTTAAAGCACAATTCTTTTTTGAATTCATAAAGCCGCCTGCTGGCTGCTGCAGGAAAATAAATCTGCGGAGAGAAGTAGCTTTTCTAATTTATACTAGCAGCATGAACTTGGCTGTCTCTCATTTAGCTTCAAATAAGTAACGTTCAAAAACGAGACTAAGGAAGAAAGTTCAGAGCAATTATTTGTGCCGTGCCGAAGTAACAAGTTGCGAAAAAAAACTTCAGCCCTCCTCTTTTATTTATAGCGAGCACTACTTTTTTATTGCGCTCAACCCTTTCTAATCCGCCCACTCGCAATACATCAAAGTAATTGCTGCCGATGGACACGTCAAGTACGCGTTGCGAAAATTAATAGAGTCGGTTGATAACATATATCAAGTCTGTTTTTTGTACAATTTCGTTTTGAATGTATGCAAATTTTTCACCCCTTGATGATGGATTCAAGCGTAATTTCAATGCATGATCGTTTTTTTGTGGAGCACTCCATCGTAAATTTTAATCAGAGGACGTTTTTACTTGCCTTTTGAAAGCACTTTAATCACTCTTGCCGTCATGAATATGCACGATATAATGGCATCCGGCAGTATAAACGGCAAGATGCTCAATAAAACTGAACTTTTCCGCCGGAGAAGACGTAATGACATTTTTATAATCATATGCACGACTGCAAACTCAAGCCGGAATTATTATTTAAGTCCGTCGTAAATTTTACAGCCGTAAAATTTGTAAAGAAGTCGGAGTGAAATTAATTTTTTATTAGTTTTTATATTCTCAGAATTTGTAATGTTGACAACAGCTTGACGATTAATTAATTTATTTCTAAAAAAAAAAACAGTTAGCTTAAAATTAAATATCTTTGTTTGGTAAAAGCAAAACAAGCGAATAACTACGAAATAAAATAAATTCTCAAAGATGCAAAGACCAAATAATGTAAAAAGTCCGAAATAACGTTGAAGTAGAACTAAAATAAACTTTAATAAATTAAGGGCGCGATGGAGATATTCACGCTATTTTTAATAAACATAGCCTGCAGAGTCAAAAGAATTTACCCAGTAATATAATTTTCCTTGCATTTTTGTGCACATTTTAAAATTTTTTCAGCAAGATTCATGTGGCCATTTCATTAGCTTTTTAATTCTTTTAAAATAATTTGTATAAAATTCAACGCTAAAATTCAGTAGCAAAAAAGGAAAGGGTAAAGCTGCTGGGTTCAAAATCATTTTAATATTATAAAAGATACTTGAAAAAATAATAATGGGAGTTTGTGCTAAAATTTAATTTAACACATCTATCTTCTCTATAGAACCTTTACAGCTGGCTTTTCTTCAAAGCTTATTCTATTAGGAATTTCCCTATATGAATTAATTTACTGTCAAACCATAATATCTAAAAATAATTATTTTTAACGCCTCTTGACTTTTTAAACTAAATTTCATTATATTATTTTTAATATTCTACGATTAAATTTTTTTAACAGGTTTAAATTTTAATTCGAATTTTGAGTAAAAATAAGTTCTCAGGCTTACCCTTCTTAGGCTGGAAAATCCTCAAGTTTGAAATTCGCTTGACCAGCCACTGGGCCAGCGACTGTTGGTGGTGGTGGTGATGTCGGTGGTGGTGCGAGGAGGACTTTTTGCTGCCGCTGGCCACCGACTCGGCCGTCGGGCTCTGTGCGCCGGCGGCCGAACTGCACGGCTGCTGCGTCACTACCGTCCCTTCACTCGGGTTGGCCGCCTTGCTGTTGGCCGGACTGGCCGCCTCCTGCACCACTGCGACCGCCACCGAGGAGGCGGACGAGGAGGGGGCGGCCGGCGGTGACGTCATCTGAGCAGTGCCATTCTCGGGCTGCTTGGCGACGACGACGTCCTCGAGTTCGGCGGCAGCTTCCTGGTCGGGACCGCGCCGAGCCACTGTTGCGGGCATGCACTGACCGAGCACGTGATCACAGGGCTACAGCTGCTGAGGCCTCGCGCACCCACCACACTCGACGGCCGGGCATCGGCGAGCACGGCCCGCCGACAACGCGCAACGAGTACCACCAATCACTGTCTGAAATCAAACAAATCACAACAATTATTACAACTTTGCAACAATAAATTAATTTAATAATGTTCCGGTCATCACAAATAATTAGAGAAAATTTATATTGTTGCTTAATATTCTGATTGGGTATCCAATCAGAAAGCGCAAAGAACATTCGAATCAAGATTTATTGCTTGGTACCTTGAAACTTGATTTAAATTATGTTTAAATATCATAAAAAATTATTGATCAGAGATCAGAAACTAGCAAATTTAAAAAAAAGAGGATTCAAAATTCAAAATAATACTTTTGTATTATTTGCTTCTTTTTTTATAAAATAATTATATTATATTTGTCAACTAAAAAGGTTTTTATCCTCTTTTTATTATAAAACTCCATTTTTTTCGATTTAAATTTTAAATCAAACAAAAAAATTAAAGATTTTAATGACAAATATGGTTGAAAATAGATTACTTTATAAGTCTGGAAAGTTCTAACTCGTCGCCCTGAATTAATTTTGCATGTAATGCGTCGCAGATACAACAGCTCGGTCCTCTTGCCTATAATCACAAGCTCTGAGGCAGTTTGGCCTTCGTCATTCCCCAGGCGGCGGGAATGCGAGGGAAGTGCCGGCGGACGGCGAAATGACCAGAGGGCGAACGAGATTTTTGCAGCAAACAGCCTCAAAGTCCCGAGAGACGATTTCCTTTTTAACATCACAAAGGCAGCTGGTGGCGGCCGGGCGAGGGCGGCGCCTCTCACGCGCAAGAAAAGAGATTTGGGTCGTCGTCCTGCCCTGGCTGTCGCGCGCTATAAAAGCAAGGACGAGTGTCGGCTCATTAGGGTGTGCACGCCTGTGTGGCAAAATTCGCCACGAAAGAAGAAGAAGAAGAAGGTGCTCGCCCCAAAATTCAGCTAGAGCTAGGCTGACGAGTTTACCTTTAACATTTGAACTTGCGATTTGGCCCGGTGCGTGGGAGGCTGCGAATTTCATCTCTAGGATAAGAAATTGCTGCTCTTTCGGTGAAATGTCACGCGGTATGAATAAATCTCCTGAGGCACACGATGTAAATTTCCACTCTGCAAATATACTTGTCGCGTTAAGTAAGTGGCCCTTTCTCTCCATTTTCTTGAAATGAGAGTTTTGATTGAAATGTGGAGATTAATAAGTATATGAATTTTAATCAGCAAATTGATTGATATTATCATTGAAATTTGAGCAAATTGAGTAAAATGATGTGAAAATTGTAATTTAAAAATTTTAGAGAGTTAAATTTTCATATTATTTAGGTATTAAAGAGGGGAAACTAAATGCATGATATTAACATACAGTAAGTGATTAATTTTTTCAAATATACTGATCATTTATAAAAAAAAAAGGAGATTTCTAAATGCACAATTTATATTAGTAATCTGGAGAAATGTTAAAATTTTATTCCAGTTTTATTTCATGACATATAAAATGATGTAATGCTAATATGATATTGACTCTATTAATATTTTTTTGGTACATTGGGAATCTCTTTTTTTGACACTTTTACATTTTTAATCTTTTTTGTTCTGACACTAGATCTTTATTAATCGTATCATTTTAATCAATTTATAAAAAGTGCAAAATATTAGTTTCGACCATATTGAATAAAATAACCAAAATAATAATACTTTTTTTTTAAATTCCCAATATTTTTTAGGTATTTTATAAACTTTATTTAATAATTAATTTCTGGTCTTTTTTTGAAATTACACCATTCTGTTCAAATTTAAGCAGTCGCTCTGTGAAACTAATGAGACATACAGTTGGTTTTGAGCTCATGATCCGCAAGTTAATTGCGAAATTCCGGTGCGTGAGGAAAGTGGGTTCACTGCTGCTCATGACGAGAGCAGCAAAACCACCTTTCACACCTCGTCTTGTTCTCTCTCGCTCACCCGAACCAACTGTTGTTGCACGTCTCGAAAACGCAAATATTCCCAGCCCGGGTCGCGTGTAAGTACCATATTCTCGCCAGGGGAAAGCCTTAAAGCCTTTGAGTGAGGATCACAATTACTTGGGGCAATCAACCCTTTCTGCTGTCCGGGAAGCGAGTGTGCTCTCTCTGTGTGTTGCTGCGCTTGTTGACACACACAAGACTGCTGCTGATGTGTCGGAGGAAGCTTTGTATCTCTCGCGCGCGCTCTGAGATCAAACAGCAGTCCGGACCGACAAACAGCAGCAGCTTCCTTGGCGCTCACAAGACCACGGAATAGTTGGCCTGCAAAAAAAATGTCTTTTGCTCAGAGAGTGGGTTGAATTTGCGTCTGGCTCGCACCAAACCGCAGACGGAATGTTGCTAATTCATGTTCAAAAATTTACCAAGAAAAATTAATTTTTCATAGAAATAAAAATGAGTTTTGTTCCCCGGCCCAAGAGGTCCAAGGACAAAACTGTTTAATTTCAAATAATCAAACAACTAAAGAATCATTCTCAAAAAAGTGAGCTCTTTTTTAATTTTACATGTTTATTTGAAAATTTTAATTATTAGCCCTTTTTGTTGATTTTTTCAATTAATGAAAAAAAATGAACTACACAAGGAAAACCTGTTCTTAATTTCATATCTAATTAGAATGAGAAATTTCCGATAAAGAAATTCCGCAACTTTCCAAACAATGCCCTCCACATATTTCCAGCACTTGTGGAACTTCATTCCAGATAACTGCTGTGCACAGGTAAAATGGAAGGGTTCATAAAGGTAGATGTGGATAACAATGCCCCCAGGTAAAAGCAGAATGGGAAGGAGAGAAAATTCGCAAATAATTGCCTCGACGCACAACGGTGCAGCGCATAAAAGAGGCAATTTTGGCGCATTCCTGTTTAAGTAAGTGGAAAATATGTAAAATTCCATATATCCGAGAGCGTCAGAGTTGCACACAATACTCTCGCTCCCTCGTTTCTGAAAATCGCTCTGAAAGGAGGCTCTTTTGTAGTATCATTTCCCGCCTTCTTTTTCGCAGAATTTCCTCCCTTCGTTTTTTTCCAGAGCCATGGAAATGAAATTCAGAAGTCTTATTTATGCAGTCCGCGTGAAACCCACGTGACACTTCATTAGGGGTGCGAGTTTCTGTAAAAAATATTTGAGCAAACAATACTATGGCTATTGTAAAAGCTCAAGCGGAAATAAAAAAGTTTCGAAATTGGCACTTGAAGTTTGAATTATGAACAAAAGTTAGCTGGAAGGATCATATAATAATAATGGTGCTGATTTGCCTTGCTCTTTGTGCCGTGAACATTTTTTCGCAAAGTTACTTTTTACGTGCAAACTTTCTGCCGAATTTCCGTGCAGCTGCTGTGTGTGTGTTATAATGATCGTGTCCTGCTGATATTGAAATCGACTCTGTATGGCTTTTCCGGCGCTGGGCGACGAACTATTGCTGCGCAAAACTGGAGGACAGTGTCGTAAAATTGTATGTTACGTCCGCAATAACACAAAACACGATGCGATTTTGTCCCATGCTTTGCTTTGAGTTTGAATTGCCAATCTTGCAGGTCCTCCAAAACATAAATATTTTACTTCCGAATTGAACATCAATATAGAAATTTTTTTTAATATGAAAAGTAGTTCAACCAGAAATTATATTTATATCATTTGTGAAATAATTTATGATACGTTCCTTAAAATTATTAATGAAAAAAAGATCTACATCAATTATTTGCATAAAAGCTTTTTGTTTTACAATTTTCTTGTATTTTAGCAGCAAAATAGGGAGAATGTCATATGTGTCATAACAATGGCCTGTGAGGTTGATCAGAGTACAATTAATTACTCTTACACTCATTTGTCTTGCAACTTGTGCAACTTTGCTCTTTTGTACTGCACTGTCAATTATTTACTTTAGCTTTGACCCTTGAATAAATTGAATAGAGTTGCATTGATTAATGAACTTTAACTTGTTATCATCTTACAATTAACCTAATAACAGAAGTGTTACTTATCCTTTCTTGCAAAAATAAAAATATGGTGCAATTTTCACTCTATTTAATTTGAGCTCTTACGCTGCTGTTATGGTTGAATTTGCCAAATGATTTCTGACCAAAAGTAAATGTTAGGATAGCGTTTTGATCAACATTATATAAATTTTGTTTGTAGAGTTTGAATTTTGACTCCAAGGAGTATTTAAAATGGTATAAACTTTTCAATTTCTGATTGATTAAAACTAAATATTTGCTGGTATCAGGAAACGTAAAAAATTGATCAATAAATTATTATATTGTTTGGATACCTAAAATAATCAATTTTCCTCACGTGAATTGAATTCTGTAGGATATTAAATTGCCGGGGGGTAAGAAAAATCTTGCTAAAATGGCCCACAGATTTTAAGCGGAAAACTTCACTCCACGTGATGGTTAGCGAGTTAATTTGTGTTTCAGAACAAATATTAAATTACAAATTTAATCAACGTTGTGAAAGATAACCACACCCTCTAGAGAAATACGCTTTTCCCGAAAAACTAATTTATAAAAATAAACTTCTAAAAATTTGTGTTCAAAAAAGTTGACGCTGTTCCCGTTCGAATTTGGTGCGGCTGCCTCGCACCAAAATCAATGCAGCTGGGCATTTTGGCGCGAAACAAGTGGTTTATGTGGCACTCTGGTTCAACATAACGTTGGTGCGGTGCCAACGAGGGCGAGCGAGCGACCCACCTGAGGAGTTGTCCGTGCTGACTGGCCGACTCTTGCACTTCACGAAACGCGCGGGACGAGACACCACTGTCGGACGCAAAGCGGAGGAGCAAGTAAGCAAATTGAAAGGACGCGAGCGACCCACACCGACGGACGTGAGCGGCTCAGCCGGACGAGGAACACTGCTGCTGGTGCCTGCGTCGCTCCAGCAGCTCCCTCCTGGGCGCTCTCTCCGTGTGACCCACCGGCGCCCGCGCACAGCCGCACTTTTTACACACTCGCCCGCAAAAAGAGTTGCTTTACTATGCACACACCGCCCAATCTTCAAGCGACAGCTGTTCATTGTTTTTTATACAATACAGATTAAAACCCAGCATTCGTACCAAACGACGAAATTGTGGAGTAAAAACGAGATTTCATTTTTATTTTAACCGTTTCAGTCTCTTTTTAGTTTGTGCTGTTTTTCCAACGCTTTTTTCCACTCCATTGAATTTTCTAGTATTATTTTTTATTTCATTTCAAGACAAATAAACAAAAAATTAAGGCTTTAAGATATTTCCGTGTAAGCAATTTACAATTTCAGGCAAAACATAAGAAATGGATGAGTGCATTTTTTCTATGGGAAAGAAGATATTCCATTCTTCTTGGGATTTGTGTTCAAGTTTCATGTTCTCCTTGTTATATAATCTAGAGGTGTAGAGGTATCAGATTTTAAGGAGGTAATATTACAGGTTTATTGCTGGTAAAATTAATCACCTTAATAAAGAAAAGCTAAAGTCTTTGCAAATAATGTGTTGCCACCTTCCACTCGGGTTTCATTTATATTTTTTTTTTAAAGCTTGATATGATTAATTTTTTTATAGAATACTCATGGTTATGTTTTATGTTTTAGCAGAAATAATAAATTAATTACAATTTTAAAGGTTAAATTCCATCTGGAAAAAATTTGTGTACATAGCGTCTAGAAACTTTTCCGTTTCAAAATAATTTTTTTCCCATAGCAATTTTAAAGTTTCACACCAGCAATTCTCGCTGGTTATTAACTTGACTATCGTCTCGAAACTTATTAAATCAAAGTCTGAGTACTTTTTCAAGAAGCAATCCATAAAAGTTAACGAAAGAGAGGAGCTCCTTCGCAACTGGGACGCTGAGGCGAGCAGTATAATGATCGACAACTAGATATAGCAATCGAACTTTGCTCTTCGTCAAGCTTTTGTCCGGCACACGCTCGTCGGTAGATAATGAACTAATTTAAAACTGCTGCTCAAAGCAATTAGGATTTGTGCTTGACACGGAAGACACGCTGACTCAAAAGAAAAAAAATTACGCCGTTAAGTTTTCGGAAGAGAGTCAGACGTGCTTTTACATACTAATGGTCCCTGAAGAATTGTTGTTCTCTTTTTTTACTCCAAGCGGAGACAATAAAATAAAGGCGGGGAGCAAGTTCATATTAGCGGGGATGAAAAGTGGACGCTACGTGAGCGGATGAATGGATTTTTTGCTTGCCAAAGTTTTTTGCCTCGATGAGCCTCCCTTAAGCCTCTCTTTTCGTGTAGTGTAGTCGGTCATTCTATTTTTTTGCTTGAAAGTCCATGGAACAAAAACTACTGGGTTTTGCTAAAGGGAAAAGTGATTTGTGCGCTCTTTTGTTCTGTGAGTGCAGACGAAAGCTGTAGCTGGCAAGGAAAAGCGAAATCAATAAATTAAATAATAAAGTCAACTTATTAAAGAAGAATCTGTAACATTTGAATTACTTTCATCCAGATGCGACATCAAAAAGTAATTTTTAAGTTACATTTGTTTCAAAAAACTTGCAGCAACACATAAAATAAAAAAGACACCAAAGAAATGCAGCTGATTAAAGAATGTATCATTTAAATTATTAGATTTTTGTATTATACAATTATGATAAAATGTTTGATTGTTGCCTAAAAAATTTCATTAAGACAAATAAATCACTTTTTAATTTTTTTTTTAAATTTCTTGCATTTTTTTTCACAAACATTCTCCTTCACAAATAAACTAGAGAATAAGTTTGGCATGAGTGAACATATTATTGATCTGCTTTTATCCGGAGTTTGTTGCTTTCCTTGGCAGTGACAGAAGTGTGATTGGTTTTATTGGCGCAAGCATGCCGTGTGTTTCCCTCCGATTATTCCCTCTTTTTTTCTCAGTTCGGAAAATGCGATATACACAGCGCACACAACAATCAGTGTGTTGCATGTGGGAATAGCGTGAGAGTCGGAAAACGGTTCGAAATGGGAAATGACGGCGGCGGTAGGCAAACCGACAAAGGGCGAATAGAAAACTATTGAATCGAGTCAATAGAACTTAATCGAAGCCGAATCCCCCTATAAAACTGCTGTCCATTAAAATTATTTATTACATTTATACGAAATTACTTTTTACGTAAATTGAAGTGAGATTGGATAAAAGCTTCTTTTAATTTATTATAAATCGTTCTATTAATTGCATATTTCACTTTAATCTGTAGCTAATTAATTTTTTTATCACGTCATGCAATTATGATGAACAAAAGTTTTGGGGAATTCAGAAAACAATTTTCAAACTTTTTTCTCCTTACTTATTAAACATTTAATATTTAATTAATTTCCTCGTAACTCATAATTAATAGTCCTCCAATCGGAAAAAAAATATTTTTTTATTTTTCCACATTTAATTATCTCGTGATTGAAACTATAGTAACTTTTTAAAAAAAATATGGTTACTGGCTTGTTTATTAATGTTCACTTATGCAAAAAGGAGAAAATCTAATTACACTCCTCTGGGCTCGCCACAAGTTGTCCAAAGTTGGTGATAGTGTCTGCGTCGGTCGCAAATTAGATCAAGGTCTTCCTCCTCCTCCGTCTTGCTAGTTGTTGCAGAAGCAATTTTTCCGTCGGCCGACTGCTAAAGGGCTGTTCGTGAGACCATAATAGCGTAAAGTAATGAGATATCTGCTGTGCCGCTCGACCTGATTATTGTATCATTTTGTGCTCCAAGCGTCAACACACAACGTACATAAGCGCGTTACACTCTCTCGAGAGAGATGAGACTTGCTCTCTGTGTGTGTTGGAGATATAGAAGAAAATGACGCACGTTTCCAAAGGCAATGCAAGCCAACGATTGCGCGCAAATCCTTCGATTATAACTGCAAGCAATAAAACGTATAATGGCCGCGCGTCCATCTCTTTTGCTGTTCCAGAGAGGGAGAGAGAGCACAATTATTGCCGTTGTCACGAGCAATTCTCTTTCAAGGAAATGAGAAATTTCCTTGCATGCTTCATAACGGTTTCGTTTCATCCTGATGAAAGAATTTTTTTGTAAAAGGCTTCACATTCTAGCTGTAATTGAATCGCTAGATATGGAAAATGGAAAATGCTGCCGTCAAAGAAACGTGAAAATAATTATAAAAAAAATCAAAACAAATTGGATTTTTATGGGGAATAACTTGAAAAGAAAAAGCTCATTCTTCAAACAGAATTGAATTTTTTTATGTTCTCTTTCATTATGAAAATTGAAAAATAGCATAAGCTTTGCCGAGCAATTTGTCAATGTTTTCTTTTGTTTTTTAAATTTTGAGAAAATTATGCTAACGTAATTTGTGAAATAAAAATTTCTAATTAAAAATATTATAAAAATTTGGATAGGTCGTGGCTTAGCAATTGGTAATTTTATATATTATTGATAGTTTTGAAAGGACTGGAATGAAGTCAAGGAAATTTAATCAGCGAGAGTGTCGCATGCGATACTGCTGCTTCCTTATGCAATGCATAATCGACTAGACAGACCGATCTGCTCTGGCCTTACACTTACACACACATTAGAGTGACCTTATTAAATCAGGGTCGTGAGCCGGCTGGCGTCGCCGAGAGTGCCATTCATTAATATGGATGACATGCAATATCTGGCCGAATGTAATACCACTTCGAAGGGTGTATTTAAATAATGGTATGTTAATGAGATGACTGATGAACGGGTCACCACGCGGCGATGAATTTCAAATTAAAGCGGCCCCGGTCACGCCACCCCAGACAAAATATTATGTATGTATACGCGCGAAAATCCATTCGTCGCGTCCGATCGACGATTAGGCGCGCACGATTTCCATATTGGCGGTGATGGATAATCGGCCGACCCAACTGGATGATGAAATTACGCGCAGTTGATTTGCGATCGATGGGGGTTTAATTAAGAAGTGATCTTGTTTTGAAAAACCAAAGAAACATTTCTTCAATAACAGCAGAACAACACAAAAATAATAATATGTAAATAATCTAAATTCCAGTTTTATTCTGTCATGCAAGTCAAAAAAAATTTGCAGAAAATAATACATCAATAAATAAAGAAACATATTATACAGTTCAGTTTTTTATAGCAATAATAACAACAAATTTAAACTTTAAAAGTTATTTAATTGTTTAATTATGTTTTTCTCAATTTAGATATTTACAAATTAAAGCATGGCTCTGAAAAATTTTAATGGCGCTGGAAGATCTAAGGCTCACGATATTTTATTTTGAAAAAAGTTGTATATAAAATCTCAAAATTCAGCAAAATTATATTATGTTTCTTGGTGACATTAATGGTTTTCTGTAGTTCATGGTTAATAACATTAATATAAATAACATTTACTTTTGAATCATGTATTTTGTAATTACTGTTGATATCTCTTCCCTTTTCATTTTAGTTTCATGCATTCTTTTCCTTTTCTTTTTTTAATAACAAATTTTTATTTTTTTTCCATTCAAGTGAAAGTAAGGAATACATTAGTGGAAAACATTTTTAACTGTCTTTTTGAAAATATACTATATCACATATAAGAACAAATTTTTGCGCCATGTTTTCAAGAAACAAAGTTACTTTTCATCCATTTTCTTCTTCTTTTATGGCACACAAGGCAAAATGCTTGCATTTGGAAAAAAGAGGGACATGAAAAGTACATCACAGCAACAAGACTAATGCGGGACCACGGTGGTTCGTCATCCGCAGAGGGAATTTGCTAAAAGCATATATTTGAGCCGTACATTTGTAAAGAAAATGAAAATATACCCTCAAAGGTTGCAAAGTAGAAAAATTTGAATTTTGCCACTGAAATTTTTCGAACAAACATGTGTTTACAAGCAGTAGAACAATAATTTGAATAAATTAAATATAAAAATAG